TATACCCTGCAGAAAGCATGTGGAGAGCAAGGCTTCTGGTCGACTCAGGACCCTGCTTACAGTTCTGGTCTCCAACGGAGAGCCCCTTCTCATCCCGTTGTCCTGGTCTGTCTGTCCTTCTTGCTAGCTAATTCTTTTTCCTTCGTTTTCCTGTCTCACTGGGGCTGGAGAAAATGAGATAAAATGTCCCAGTGCGAGCAGTGAGGCAGGAAGAAAGGGGCACGTTCTTTGATTGGATAGAGGAGAGCAATCTCCTTTACCAAGTCCACCGATCAAAATGCCAGTCCCCTACACCCTCACAGATGAACCTAGAGGTGATGTTTAATCTGGCACCCAGTGGGTACACGGACACGGAATTAGGCATCACAAGGGGGAAAAGATTCCTCAGTATAGAACTGGGCTCGACTTCGAATACGGCCCGAATAGTTGGGACTTACAGCCATGGAGCCGGGTAGGGTCAGCGGAGCCATCTGGCTAGGGAGGGGATTTTGATAAGCAGACTTCACAGGGATCTTGCTGGGTGCAGGCTGAGGTGGTCAGAGGCCAAGGGTGGGGGGACTCTCTCTAAACTGGCTGAGAAAGTTTCTTGCTAAAGCAGGGTGATGCAGACCCCAGTGGAGGATGGATGCCCAGGCCGAGGAGTGGGCTCGGAGGAGCTCGACTATAGTTCTGTTATGGAGTGAGCCTCATCCGTGTCTGAGCTGCCATTTCAAATTCTGCCATGCTCCCTGGCATTATTTAGTATAAGATGTGAATCTATGAACTGTGGAGGGAGGAACCTGCCCTCCCGCTCCCTCTCCCCCTGCTCCTCTTTGACCAGCTCTCAGCATGTCTGAAGACTGGGAAGGAGCGGAGGAACGTCAGCCTAGTAGAACTGGTGGGGAAGAGGAAGCAGGGGCAGAAGGGCATGGACTTTGCTGAAAAAAAATAAAAAGGAAATGGCAGAGGCTGCGTGCACCAAATTGAGACAGAGAGAGAACGAGAGAGAGAGAGAGAGAGAGAGAGAGAGAGGGAGAGAGAGAGGGAGCGAGCACCCCCCAGAGGGGTGGTCATGCCATCATCCCTTCTCCTCCATGTCTCCCTACTTCTGAGATTTTGGGCATGCACCTGGCTGGTGTGTTTCTCCCACTGTTGGGTGTGGGACTGGAACCCCCTGGTTGGCCATGTGGGATCAGCTCCTGTAACCATCAGGCCACTGCTACGATATGTGTCTAACCCCCCTCACCTCTGCCTGTTTGGAGTTTCATTGTATAAGGCCCATTTAAAACCACCTTAATGTGGCATGAGAGTAGCGAACAGTTTAGCCCAGAACTTAGAGCAGGTCTCTGGGCAAACGCCAACCGCTGAGCTTCAGAGCGCCTGCTGACTGGTCTGGCTGTGATGGTAGCACAGAGCCTAGAGGGCCCCAGCAGACATCAGGGGCAGCTGAGAATCGCAGCGTGGCCAAAATGGATGAGACCAGCTGTGAGCACGCGGTGTGAGGGCAGTGGTCACAGTGCATGGCTCTAATGAGAGCGTCACTCAGCCTCGGCTCCAGTGCATGGCTCTAATGAGGGCGTCACTCAGCCTCGGCTCCCAGGGCTGTTCTGAGAAGGCCTTGGCAAGCCCACTGTTGCCGTTATGCGCTCACTCGTCGTTTGTTTGCCCCATCCTGTTTGTCTTTGATCTGAGAGACGCCGCCCTTTCTCAGACAACTGCTTTCTTTTGTTTCTGATTCAACTTTGTTAAATCAAAATGTAATAAAAATCAAGCTTCTTTGAAGTTAAAATAGGCTGCTGAGCAAAGTTATGTGCTGGTAGATAGCTTTTAAAAATAAATGGCCTTGGGACCAGTAGACAGCATAACGGTTACATCGCTGGACCCCCACATGACCAACCATGGTTCACGTCCCAGACCTGGTGGCTTCAAGATTACACTGGGCGTGTGTGTGTGTGTGTGTGTATGTGTGTTTGTGTGTGTGTATGTGTGTTTGTGTGTGTGCTCAAGATCCTGGAAGGAGAATGGAGGAGGAGAGATTGTGGCGTGGCCATCCCTCCTGTGGGGTGATTTTATTTTCTCTCTCACTGTCTCTGTCTCTCTCTGGTGAGAGCACACATGCCTGAAGGCAAAAACCTTCAACTAAATGAGCTCTCTTACACTATTAATTATCGACTACACTTTTTCTTTTTAAAAAGTCAGATCAGACCCTTCTATTTCAATTTTTTTTTCACATTCTATGGTTCTTATTATGTTTATTAGCATTTAATTTTTTAAATATTTAAAAAATGATAATGAGGAGAATGGGCACCTTGGACACCCTTCAGGGGAGTGACGTTTCCACTGCTGCCTGCTGTGCACAGTAAGAAATCTACTTTCCACCGAGACCCGCACACCCGTGTGTGGCGCGTGTGAAGTGTAATGAGGTTAAACCTGACTGAGCGGTTCCTCCCTGCCATGTCTGGGTACTCTGCATTTCTATTTTGTATTTCACTTCATTGGAAGTGCTGACCGTGCCTTAGCGAGTGGCCTTCCAGGTCCCGTCCAGGTCACAGTTGGAGTCTGAGCAGAACTGCCGAGCAGCCATCAAGCCTTGGGAAGTCTCGGATGCGGTTCGGAGAAGTGTTTGAAGATGATCTGTTGGCAGCTTTTGCCTTTCCTGCTCGGGGCTGGAGAAACCGGCGGTTCCAGCCATGGTGATGGGGACTTCCTTGTAGGCGAACAGTGCCACTTTGTGTTTGTATGATTGCTCCTCTTATTCCTGGAATCCTGCAGAACCACGTAGGCTCAGGAACTTTGAGTCTACCAGTTACCCTCCGGGCATCTTCAGGGTGACAAATACACTGTCCCCACTGTCCTCCTGCAGTAGGCCAGAGAGCTGCTTTCTCCTTTTGCCAGTTTACCACTCTGTTCTCAGCCCAAGAGAAGACTTAGGAATCAGAGCGTGGAGTGTAGACTCCTCTCCCAGGGAGCTCACAGCTATCATTTTCATGAGCGCAGTGCAGAGAGTGGGTTGAGTTAGGAACAACTTTAGGGTCATACTTAGACATTAAAAAAAGAGGAAAGGAATTGGGCTGGCCCCTTGGCCTGGTGGTTGAGGTAGCCAGAGCCCATGGAGCCGACCATGTAGCTTGAGTGCTGGACCTGGCAGCTTGCGGAACGTGCTGGGCACATGTGTGTGCATGCCGCAAATCCCAGAAGGAGGGAGGGACGACAGAGAAGGGATTGCGGTGTGATCATTTGCCATGGGGTTCTTTCCCTCTCTCTCTATTTCTTTATGACAAACACATGTGCCTTCTACTAACAAAAGGAAAAAAAGAGAAACATTTAAAAAGTCAGATCAGATCCCTCTATCTGAGTATTTTTCACATTTTATGGCTCTTATTACATTTATTAGCATTTAACTTATTTTGTATTTTTCTTAATAATCCAAATATTTGGAAAATAGTTTACAGCTAAAATGTTCTGAGAATAAAATGATACCTTTTCAAATGTTTTTTCACGGAGAGATGTAGCCATGACACCAACTGCTGGTCCCTAATGTGGATTCTATTCCTCATTAGCAGTTATATAAATTCTAAACCGTCCAGCACTATTTTGAAAACATTATAATGTGGGGACCAGCAGATTGCATGGTGGTTAAGGCACTGGACACTCCCACATAGCTGACCACAGTTCGAGTTCCGGACCTGGTGGCTTGCTTTCTCATTTTCTCTCTCTCTGGTCAAAATAAAAATAAATGAATAAATGAATGAGTAAATAAAATAAAAACAATAATAATTTAAAAAAATCATATAATGTAGAAAAAAAGCTTCCACCATCTTTGAGAAGAGTACATATTTTAGCAAATAACAGTTTGTGCTAAAGATATATTTGAAAATAACTTTTGCATATTAGAACTGCCACTCCAAGAGCCCACATGAAATATCCAATCAAACTAAGAAAAGTAAATGAAAAGGCAGAATATTAAATTGTTTTAAAACCTTTTATTTGAGTGCTGCTGTGTGCTTTTAGTTTTTAAATTTTTTTAATTGCCAGAGGGTACATCATTCACAAGAGAGAGCCAGAGAGAGAGGGAGAAAAGGAGAGAGAAAAAGCACCCCTCGACATGGCATGGTCATGCTGCAATCCCTTCCCTTCCCCTTCTCCATCATGGCAGGACCCTGGCTATGTGTACGGGCCCTGCACTGCCTCTCAGGCCACCATGCCAGGATTCGACCTGCGGTCTGTCATGTGTGGTCTGGCCCCCTTAACCACCAGACAAAGCCCTGCTTTTTATTTTATTTAGTTATTTATTTTTAAGAATTATTTATCTAACTTTATTTATGTATTTATTTAAATTTGACCAGAGAGGGACAGAGTAAGAGAGCAAGGTGCTAGGTCCAGGACTCAAACCGCGGCTGACCAAGTGGGAGTCCAGTGCTTTCAGCCATCACACCACCTGCTGGGCCCCCAGCTTTTATTTTTAAAAAAAGTCCCCAAAGAAGCCAAAAGGTGCTATGAGCCAATTTTTTTTTTTTTTTTTTTGGAGAGGTTTTTGCTATAGGGCACATGCGCTTGCCAGAAAGAAAGAGAGAGACAGAGAGACAGAAATTGAGAAATCACCCCCCCCCCCAAGGGGAATGGCCATGCCGTAATCCCTTCTCCTCCATTCTCCTCTTGGGATCTTGGGCACGCACACACACGCATCTGGTGTGAGTTTTAGCCACCGGGTCCAAGACTTGAACTGTGCTCAACTACATAGGAATCCATTGACATAGCCATTACACCAACTGCTGGTCCCTATGAACCAGTGTTTATCTCTGTGACACATAGGCTGTTGACTGAGGTTTTCTGCTATTTTTCTTACTTGTAGGTTTAAGGAGGTATAGCCTGTTTTTTTTTTTTTTTTTAAATCATTTTAGGGTTTCATACGTATTAAATTAGACATCTGGTGTCTGGATGAAACACCGTCTCTTCACGGTATCTTTGCTTTCCTGCTCCTACTATAGTAACGGATGCTGGTTTTCTTCGTTCTGTTCCAGTGTCTATCTGCTGAAGAGATCTTCTCCCTTCATGGCTTTTCCAATGCCACCCAGATTACCAGCTCCAACTTCTCTGCCATCTGTCCAGCAGTCTTACAGCAACTGAACTTTCACCCTTGTGAGGATCGGCCCAAGCAAAAAAGCAAGCCAAGTCTTTCGGAAGGTATGTTGGAAAAGTTTTCTCTCATTTATTAAAAAAAAATCTATGAGCCAGAATGTACTGAAGTCAACGTGCAGCTTCTTCTGCATTGGTGCTTTTACTTAATCTACATACTAGTAAGACCTCTTAGTAAAATACACATTGAGTGTCTCTACCCAAAATGGTTGGGACCAGAAGTGTTTCGAATTTTGAAGTTTCTAGGATTTTTGAATAATTTGCACACGTACATAAAGAGTTCTTTGGGAATGGGCCCCAAGTCTAAGCATGGCATTCTCTATGTTCCATATACACCCTTGAGACTTGGCCTGGAAGTGACTTTATATGGTATTTTTCGTAGTGAAGCGTTCTGACTGACACTATCAGGTAAAAGAAGACCTGGAGCCTTGCACTTGTGGCATCATGGTGGCACTCATGGAGTTTTGGATTTTGGAGCATTTTGGATTTTTGGATTAGGAATATCTAGCCTGTATTTATATTCTGAAAGTAGTCAGAATAAGAGTAATTAGGACTCATTTAAGCTTCTTAAATTATGTTTTCTATTTGTGGGTTCAAAATTATACTTAATACCACTTACAGACTATAAAATTCGATTCTTGACTTTGAACTATCTCTATTTCATGCTGTGCATATTTGACTTACAGGAGATAAGTTAATTATCCTTTTGCTTATATTATTATTATTTTTAAAAGAATTATTTATTTATTTAATTCCATCTGTATTTATTTATTTATTTATTTATTTATTTATTTATTTATTTATTTGGAGAGGATTTTCACCATAGGGTGCATGCGCTCGCCAGACAGACAGAGAGTGACATAGAGACAGAAAGTGAGAAATCACCCTCCAGGGAGGATGGTCACACCGCAATCCCTTCTCCTCCATTCTCCTCTCGGGATCTTGGGCACGCACGCACATGCGCCCGGCGTGAGTTCTAAGCTACCGGGTCCGGGACGTGAACTGTGGTTGACTATGTGGGAGTCCAGCGACATAGCCATTACGCTAACTGCTGGTTCCCTATTATTTTTTGGTTTGACGAGACAGAGAGAGAGAGAGAGAAAGGGAAAGTGAGAAAGCAAGCCGCCAGGTCTGGGACTCAAACCACAGTTGGCCATGTAGGAATCCAGAGCCTTTAATCACCACACCACCTGCTGGCCCCTTGCTTGTATTATTTTAAAACTTGTCAGTTTACAATCCTCAGTGAATGGGTAAGGGAGCTAGCATGCTTCTGAATGACATTTTAAGTGACTGAATTATTAACATTTTAATGTAAATTGATAAAAGAAAATGCCAGCAACTATTTTAATCATGTATAGTGGTATTGCCATAAGTAACTGCATGTTAAAGGCAGAATCTGCTATAAAGAAATCTTAAAATATAAGAAAATAAATGTATGCATAATATATAGTCCACACACTTGAACATGTAGAAGAGAACTTTTCCCAGTGAGATAAGCCAGTTGTTTAGGGGAATCTTTTTGCCAGTTATATGCAATTTCTACATGTCCCAAAATTGTTAACTTGTCCCCATGGGTGTTTTAATGTTTATTTATTTCTTCATTCAATAAATATTTATTTAAAGACATGCCAAGTGCTTTCCTGTGCCCTGCAAGATCAGTAGTGCACAAGAAGAAAAATCTGTCTTAGGGCTTGTAGTGAAGAAGAGAAATAATAAACATTTAAACAAATATACAAGGACCAGCAGGTGGCGTGGTGGTTAAGGCACTGGGCTCCCACATGGCTGACCAGAGTTTGAGTCCAGGACCTGGTAGCTTGAAAATCATGCTGGGCTCATGTGAGTGTGTGCCCAAAATCCTGAGAGGAGAATGGAGGAGAAGGGATTGTGGTGTGGCCATTCCTCCTATTCCCTGTCTCTTTCTGGCAAGTGCATGAACCCTATAGCAAAAAACTAAGTAACTAACTAAATAAAATAAATCATATAGTGTCAATGTGATAACATAGTAAGAAGAAAATGAAGTAGATAAGGGATAGAAGGCAATGGTGGGTGAATGTTTCGTTTGTTTGTTTTTTAATTTCCAGAGGGTGTGTGCATCTATCAGAGAGAGGTAGAGAAGCAGAGAGAGCAAGAAGCCCCTCAGTGGAGCATGGTCATGCTGCAGTCCCTTTTCTTCCATTTCTCCCTCCTGTCAGGATTTGGGACATGCACATACCCTTGCTCACTGTGTTTTTGAAGCCACCGGGGTTGGAATTTACCCTGTAGTTGGACATGTGAATTCTGGCTTCCTTAACCACTAGCCTATGGGACTGGACCCACGGTGATTTTTTAGATAGGTCAAGGGAGCCCTTTCTGATGAGATTACATCTGAGCAGAGTCCTGGAGAGACAGAGAGCCGTGGCAAGACCCCGTCCGGAGAAGGTGGCTAGAAGCACAGCCAGTGTCGTCTGGGAATGAGGTTGACTTGGCTAAGAAGCAGCAGGAAGACCTGCATGCCTGGTGCAAAGCGACAGGAGAGCGAGTAGGAGATGATGTCAGGAGAGCGAGTAGGAGGTGATGTCCTGGAGATGAGGGGGGGGGGGCCCCACAGGACAGCCTGGTGTGAAGCCCTGCAGAGTTCTTCATAGAGGAGTGCCATGAATCTTTTATGTGGATCTCTGGAAGGATACTCTACCCGTGGTTTGAAGACTAGGTTATAACAGGCAAAAGTAGAAGCAAGGAGATGGGTCAGGAGGCTAGTGCCAGGGGTTGATTCTCAAACCATGGAGACATGGACCAGGCTGGAGGAAGTAGAAGTGGAAGAAGTGGTCGGATTCAGGCTGGATTTTGGAGATGGTACTGAACTACTTTGCTTCTAGATTGGATGTAGGAGAGAGGAAGCCAGAGAAGCTGAGGACGTGACCGTACCATTTCCCAGAGTGAAGACTGGGGTCATTTATCATGGAGGAAGGGAGTGATGCAGACCAAGAGTATACTTTGGGGCGTGGTCACTTTGAAGGATGGACATACACCCCGAGTAGGGATATCTGGTGGGCGGTGGTGTGTAATGGTTGGAGTTTAGGGGAAGATTGAGGCTGGCGGTGTGCCGCCTCGGAGATGGCACGTGAAGATTCTGAGCACACTCACCAAGCATGAGGACAAAGAACACGGAGAAAGTGGGTGGAGAAGCCAAGGGAAGGCTTACCAGGGAGCGTCTTTCCCTCATTTTGGGTCCCTCCATGTACTTAGACTTCCATCTCTCTCTGCGTGAGTCTTAGGACTAACCACGACAGCGGCAAACAATAACTGCATTCTTTTGTAGGTCTTTCCCCATGGCCTGCACCTTCCCATGTGCTTTACATGTGTGGGGTCTTCTAATCTCCACGCGAGTTGGTGTAGGCACTGACATTCCTATTTTACAGCCGAGGAAACCTAGATACGGAGGGTGTACAGTCACTTGCTCAAAGCTGCACAACTTTGTATGTAGTGGAGCCGGACTGAGTCCTCGTTTTTTCAGCTTTGGGGCCCATGTATCATTTAATTCTCTGTGTGTACATAAGAGGGATAGAAACCACCAAGTGTAATTTAGCAGCAGAATCACAACTTTGTGGAGAACGATCGTTTTAATTTTGAAATAATAGCAGTTTTGAACAATTACTAATTGTTCAAAGAAATATTTTTGCTCGAGTATGTTTATATTCCTACACACTTGTTTCATTTTAGTACAATGCAGACTTTATTCTCAGAAGTAAATGTAGCAAATGTTTTTATATACTAACATTTGGAACCAGTAGAAGGCCTAGCGGTTACATCACTGGACTTCCACATAGCCAACTGCGGTTCGAGTCTAGGACCCGAAGGTTTGAAAATCATGCCGGGTGTGTGTGTGTGTGTGCACGCCCAAGGTTTTAGGATGAGAGTGGAGGAGAAAGGATTGTAGCATGCCCATCACCCATGGGGGATGATTTTTTGCTTTCTATCTCTCTGTTTTTCTCTCTGTCTCTCTGGCAAGGGCACACCCCCGATAGCAGAAAACAAAACAAAACAAAAACAACAAACAAATAGAACCCCCCCCCCAAAAAAAATATACTAATATTTACTAATAGAGTATCATAGAAAAAGTATAGACCCTGAAATCAGCCCATCTGGGCTTACATTTTTCAACTATGTTGGGCACATCTTTTTTTTTAAAATTATTTATTTAATTTATTATTATTTACTATAGGGCACATGTGTTCACCATAGAAAGACAGAGAGAGAGAGAGAGAGAGAGAGAGAAAGAAGAGAAGAGAAGAGAAGAAAAGAGAAGAGAAGAAAGAGAGCAAGCATCAGGTTTGGGACTTGAACCATGGTCAGCCATATGGGAGTCCAGTGCATTTAACTATGCCACCTGCTAGTCCTAGGCACATGACTTTTAATTTCTTTCTGCCTCAGTTTCATCATCTAAAATATTACTGTTTTGTATGGTTGCTAAAGGTATTAAGCAACTTAATAGCTGTAAAGTATTTAGAACATTATCTGACACATAGTTGGGTACTGAATATGTATTCATAAATAAAGTGTCTTTTTTATTATATACTTATTTATATGATGTGTAACCACACATATATCTTCGAAAATCTATTAAAATCTTTCTGCGTTAACCTAGAGGTAGAAGACTCTCTCTGAAACAGAACTTTTGAGAATGTCTTACCTGTAGGTGGAGAAGGCCAAGGAATTTTTTTTTTTTTTTGGAGAGATTTTCACTATAGGGCGTGTGTGCTCGTCAGACAGACAGAGAGAGACATAGAGACAGAAAGCGAGAAATCACCCCCCGGGGGGGATGGTCACGCCTCAATCCCTTCTCCATTCTCCTCTCGGGATCTTGGGCACGCACGCACACGCACCCGGCGTGAGTTTTAAGCCACTGGGTCCGGGACGCGAACCGTGGTCAACTACGTGGGAGTCCAGCGACATAGCCATTACGCTAACTGCTGGTTCTCAAGGCCAAGGAATGTTTTCAAACTTGTTCATTCTTTGGTGTCCCCATTGCATGAGAAAAAATGGATATTTAATTCATTAATTAACTTATTCACCCATCCGTCCTTTTGAGAATGTGGGCACGCATGCACACATGCTTGGCATGTTTCTCAAGCTATCTAGACTGAGGAAGGAACGGTGTGGACTCAGATCAGAACTGTGTGGACAGAGGTGGGAGCCGTGTGGACTGAGGTCAGAATAGTGTGGACAGAGGTGGGAACTGCGTGGACTGAGGTCAGAATTGTGTGGACAGAGGTGGGTGCCGTGTGGACTGAGGTCAGAATTGTGTGGACAGAGGTGGGAACTGCGTGGACTGAGGTCAGAACTGTGTGGACAGAGGTGGGAGCCGTGTGGGCTGAGGGCAGAATTGTGTGGACAGAGGTGGGAACTGCGTGGACTGAGGTCAGAATTGTGTGGACAGAGGTGGGTGCCGTGTGGACTGAGGTCAGAATTGTGTGTACAGAGGTGGGAACTGCGTGGACTGAGGTCAGAA